TCAATTTTTCACATCAGAGAGACAATGTTATATTTATACATATGTGTCCAAGTTATTTCACAACCACTGTGGAAATCAGCATGGAGATTCCTCAAAAAATTAGAATTAGAGGGCCAGAGATTTAGCTTAGTGGCGCTGTGCCTGCCTTCCAAACACAAGGTCCTAAACTCAATCCCCTGGTACAATTAAAAAAAAAAAAATTAGAATTACAGGTCCTATTTGACCCAGGTATTCCCTGCTGGTACCTTTCCCAAAGAATTGAAAGCATTAAATCACAATCATATATGCACAACCATGTTTATAGCAACAGTTTGTAGAGCTAACTCTCGAAAACAACCCAAATGCTCATCAAATAATGAATGGATAAAAAAGATGTGGGTTTTTTAGGCAATGGAGTACTACTCAGTCATAGAGAAAGATAAACTTGAGATGTTTATAGCTAAATGGATACAACTTGAGATTATACTCTGTCGCGAACCGGCGACGCAGAGCACTGTCCCGCAGTGCCTCAAACCTGAAAGAGCAGCGGGGTGGAGATGGGGCAGAGAGAAAGGAAGGACGCCAAGACAAGAGTCTGATCAAGGCGACGTTTATTGCAGGCAGGCATCAGCCTTTTAAAGGAAAAGACCGAACTATTATGGGCTAGGATTACCATAGTAACCTCAATACCTGCTCCTATAGATAACATCAGATCTTTAACATAACAAAATGGAGTTAACAGCACCTGACTCCTACAGATCTTTGGCTGTCTGGGTTTCTTCCGTGCAGGGCAAAACAAGTTTAACACGTGCAGTCCTTAAAAAGGAACAAATGTTGTCTTTCAAAAAGCCAGTGGGCTATGGCTGGCTTCCCACAATACTCCTTTACCTAATTTGATTCTAACATGTAACTGATAGAAATCTTTTGATTATAAAAGTTTAGAAAGATTCTGAGGAGACTGACATATAGATAGACTACATAGGCATTTCAAAGTTAATGGCTTTTCATTAGTATCTTACTTCTTAATTTCAATAGTAGAAATTGTAGGTTTTTATTAAGCCAGGAAACATGAAATATAATTTGTTTAAAATTTTCTTTGGTCACTGAGTGTTTTGGCTTGAGTCTACATGTGCCCCCCTAAAACCTAGGTGAGGCTTTTCAGAGGGGGTCTAGATCTAGAGTGTGTAGTGAGGAGATTAAGTGTGTGATGCTGGAATTAAGAGTGTGTAATTACTTAATTAGTCCACTGGTTGGTTTGGCATAGTTTTGAGTGTGGATAATGAGATTGCCTATCCTGGGATGTGAGTGCTACCTGTCCTAAAGGCGTGTACCCTAGATAGACTACAAGGGACAGAAAGAGGGCTGCTATCATTGCCTGCTGCTTGCTGCTTTTGCTGCCTTCTGGCTACCATGAACTGTGTCTCCTCTGCAATACCCCTCTGCCATGCCGCCCTGCCTTGGAGCCAGTCAATTATGGACTAAAACCTCGGCAAACTGTGAGTCAAAATGCACTTTTCCTCCCTTAACTTTGGGTATCAGGTATTTTGTCTCAGCAACAAGAAAAGTAACTAAGTCACTGAGAGACCAAAAAAGGAAATAAAAAGTCAATATTTGAGACCCCACCGTCTCTGTAAGTTAAACTTTAAAACTACTTAAGGAATAAAATCTTACAAATTCTTAAAGAGTTTTGGTAATGACGTTGACAGTTTCAGGGAAATTATTCAACAACCTATTGATTATAAAATTATTTTATTTAGTAGTTTTGGTATCTTGCCATGGAAGATACTAGCCCAGTCTAGTAGAAGACTCTAATGTGTATAATATACTTTGATATTTTAAAAGTTAGATTGATTCCATAACCATTTTGAAATTCTGGGCAAACTTTAAAAAAATAATCCTAGATGAAGTTATCTGCAATTAATTGATAAACAGGCATTTTGAAAGTTTAATTGGATAAAGCACCATTATAAGGTTAAAATTTGGGCCAGACATGGTGGTACACTTCTGTAATCCCAGCACTTGGGGGCCTAATGCAGGAGGATTGTAGTGAGTTTGAGGCCAGTCTGAACTACATAGAAAGACCTCATCTCAAAAAAAAAGCTTAAAATTTGATAAAATTTTAATGTCAAATTGTTACGGAAGGAGACAGCAAGTGACACACTGAGAGGCAGCAGAATGGAAGTAAAACAAAAAAGTTTACTCCATCGACGGTGATCGATCATACCTAATGGCGGTGCCCTGATCGACTCCTCCATTGGGTTACAACTCTTACTTTTACAGGTTTGATCTTATTCAGTTGGTTATACTGCATTTTCACAGATACCCAAAACGTGATAGCAAGGCAGCTGAATTCCAACACGGATGCAGTTTTTTGTTAGGGAAGTTACCTTTTAGATTCATTCAAATACCTACTCTAGCCAGGGGGAAGGGAGCTTGTTTGATTAACAAAGCTAACAATGGTTCTTTTCACTTACAAACTTTTGTGGGGAGGCTAGGTATCTCCAGTACTGGTTGATTCTGAACTAAGCTGGGTGAGGGGCAGAAGTTATCTTATATTGTGACATTTCCTAAATTTTCATTTATTAAAGTTTTCCCTATCAAAATCTTAACCTATTGTGAAAAGTTTAGTTTTTTTTGGTAAAATATACACACTTTAATTTTGTGTCTTTGTGTAGATATAAAAATTTATTGCAGGTATCCTGAACCAGGAACTCAATTGGGTTTCAGGCCAGTTTGATATACTGACCAGTCTTAATTTTGTGTGACTGTAGGATTTTAGACTAAATGTTATGTTGGTGGAACTGTGCTGTTTATGAAATTTAACAAATTAAACATTAACTTGATGTCATATTATGCACAATTTAAGGATTAAAATTTATATAGCCAGTTTTGAACAATGGATCATTAAATGTTGACTTCCTAGTATAAAACTATAAGAATAAAAGTAAATTGTTCAGCTTAAAAAACCCATCTGTGAAATTATCATTTTCATAGATTTCCAAAGTTTGCCCCCTAGTAAAAGTTTTCTTCCTTCCTTTCTTTCCTTCCTTCCTTCCTTCCTCCCCCTCTCTTGTCCAGTACCAAGGACTGAACTCAGGACCTTGCACTTATGAGACAGGCATGGTGGTACTCTTGTTTTTTTAAAAAAGTTTTATTCTCTTTTTCACCCTCACTATTCAAATCACATAATAAATGGCAATCTAAGAGAAATACCACATTCAGAAAACTGAAAACAAAAACTTCGTTGTCTTTACTGTTTTTCTTCTGCATTTTCCCCCAGTACTGGGAATTGAACATGGCCTTAGCCGATACTAGGCAAATGCTCCACTACTAAGCTACAGCCCTAGCCCTCCCCATTGTGTTTGGTTTTTGGAACGGGGCCTCACTATGTTGACAAGGTTAGCCTTGATCTTCTGGTTTCAAGTGATCCTCCTACCTCAGCTTCATAAGTACCTGAGACTATAAGTGTGCATCACTGGGCCTGGCTCTTTCATTGTGTATGTATTTTTTTTTTCAAATTGTTCTTTAAATTGATTTTTCTAACAGAATATTGCTGTCTATATTTAATTATTTTTATTTTAGTATTTCTCTGTGATGTATTAAATAAGGAGCTGGGAGTCTGACATAGCCCTTCCTATACTCCTAAGGCACTTTCTAGTACAATCCAACACCAACCTTTTCTAGTACAATTTAACATAGCACTGCAGGTCTAAAACAGGTTAAATGAGTTTTTTTTGAGGAAAGGGGCAGAGGTGTCTTAACCCCATAACTTTATGCATTAAAAACTGTTCTTATATGTAGAGTTATAGAAAGGGCTGGTACAAAAACAAATTAAACAACAATAATTTTAGCATTTTAAAATGTTAGGGAACACTGTACTAGGAGCTGTGATTACCTCTGTGCATTTTCTTACTTCATTAAGTCTGTGGAGAGTATTCTGCTTTCTGTAGCATAGATCTGGCCTCCACAACAGGGACTGTTAAAAGTTTAAAAAACATGTAAAAGAAATCTGGACGTTTTTAGGGTCCTCCTAGAGGAAGTCAGGCATAAATCACTTCATCTGAAACTATGGTGATTTCCAAGATCTTGGCTCCTCTAGGTCTCTACTGTTGTGTCCTCCTTTCTGTCTTACTCAGTAAAAACCCCTGGACTTAGCCCCGTGTGAGGGCAGCACCTTCTTTATGGCGTTGATAGTGTCGGTTTTCTCGGTGAATTTGCTTGTCAGTGCCGTGTTCTTATTGTGAGTTGTTTAACTTCATTGTTAGGCCCACAGCAGAAGCGATCCAAACTCATTGAAAAACTGTTAAGCTCTTTGCCTTTCAAGAGGATAAAGTATAAATGCCACGGGAATCCCGTAGGTACATTTACTGAGGGTTATTCTACCTCCTGGAGTTTATTCACGGAATCACTTGCATTCAGTTCACCTGGTACCTGCTGCTGGCCCGGCAGTTCTGGCTGGTACCGCCAAATAAATGATGTCCCAGAAGGGGTCTGGAGACTCTTCAGCTCTAAGTATTTACTGCTTTCCTGTGAGAGTTCTTTCCACCACCATCAGCAGAACAAAGGTACCTACACAATAGAGAGGACAAGAACTTCCTCCTAAAAATCTTTTCCCTACAGGGATTTAACAGGCAGGAAAGGTCCTCCCAGGCTCTGGACGGTTCACTGAGGAGAGCTCAGTCTTTCTGGTTTCAGATTTCAAGAATGAGAAACGCAGGTCCTGGGTCCTTCGCTGGCTTCGGTTGACAAGTCAGCCTCTCTGGGGCCACTTGGCAAAGCGATGGGGCTGGAGGGGGTGATGTGCGGCCCCGTGTCCCGATCTCAGACCTGCACCCGGGATCGGAGGACACAGCGGCCCACCCAGTCCAGTCAGTGAAGTCATAAACATCACGAGCCTTTACAAGAAAATGAAACTGAAAACGGGAAAGTCCCCTCTCTGACTTGGCTTAGCGCTGCGGGCCTGGAGACTGATGACGCCCCACAGGACGGGCCCTGATTGGACAGGCGCCGGAGTTTTATAAGGAGTGGCGCTGACCGGGCGGGCAGTGTGCCGCTGCCGCGTCCAGTGAGATGTCCCGCCACGCTGTCCTGGCCCTGCTGGCCCTGCTGACCCTCACTGGAGGGGACGCCATCACGCGTGAGTGCCCCCGCGCAATTCTCGGGTAGCACTGCCTCTACCGTCCTGCTCTGGTGGGCTCGCTCTGTGCCGCTGACCTCCGTGGGTCGAGCCCCACGAAGCGGCCCGGACTGGGGGGAGCTGGGGACGCGCTCTTCTCGTCCTCTGTGTAGGAAACGGGTGCGAGGTTTGCACAGATCGTGGGGTGTGGGTCCCCTCACGGCCCGGGGATGGGTGGGCAGAGGGGTATAGGGCTCGGACTTCGCACCAGCCTGGTATGCTGCTTCTGGGGGCCGCCAGATTCGCGTGGGAAGGGAAACACTGCGTGGATTGCGTAGTGAGGGTTTCATACCCGCTCAGCGTTAGCTTGCTCTCATCGCCCTTTGCTTTAAAAATGCATAATTTGTGACAGCGGGGCCCTACGGACTTTGTGCCATTTACTTTGGAAAATGAGCCTCAGAGGTCAATTCTAGGGTCATCTGCATCTCAGATGAGGAAACCGTGGTGTTGAGTTGTAAAATAATAACACGGGAGAAATGCTTCTGGCGTTTAAATTAAACTGGAGTGGTGCCTGTTTTCAGAAACATGCCTTGCCGCGCGCTTCCTGTGTGAGCCTGGGCGAGGCAAACGTTTTCTCCACAGGACTTCTTCTTTGGCCCCTTGCCTGGGCATTTCCAAGATATGTAGAGCCGCTACTTTCGGTTTTGAGAAAGCGCATATTTGTCAAAGGCAGGAAGGCTGGAAAACAGAAGGGTCATTTCAGGTGGTTGCTTAAACTGCAGAGGACACCCAAGATTTTGAGCTCTTTTCTTTTCTCATTTTTCCATTCCTTTCTTTTCTTTTTCTCCTTTTCTTCTTTCAGTAACTGGGGTTTTAACCCAGGTGTGTTTCGCCACTGAACCACACCCGCAGCCCTTTTCATTTTGCGATGGGTTCTCGTTAAGTTGCGCAGGCTGATCTCACTCTTCAGAACCTCCTTCCTCAGCCTCCTAATAGCTGGGATTTTAGGCCTGAAGATACTTTCCTGGTTTTATGCACTTCTTAACTACCTGACAATATACCGGACCCTGTCGTCATTTTCCCTCGCAAAACCCCCGCGGTACAGTGTTTTGATCAAGGGAAAACGGTATCCATTTGAACAGTCTATTTACAAAATAAAGAATAATGTGTATATTATCACCATTGTTGATTATAAATGTGATTTAAAAAAAACAACCTGACATTTAAAAGAATTCTTATTTTGACAATTTTCTGAGTAATTCATACTATGCCTAGATAAGTTTCTGGAAGGTATATAAGCAATTTCTTAATACTGATTGCTTCTTTTTTTTTTTTTGGTACCGGGGTCCTTGCACTTGGGAGACAGGCCACCGAACCGCTGAGCTAAATCCCTGGCCCAATAGTGATTGCTTCTTTTCCTTCCATCCTGTCTATGCAAGTTTTTGTTTCACTGCGGACATGAATTAATTTTTCAGCTGAACTTTGGTAGTTTAAAATAACTCTTCCAGTTGTGCATGGTGGCATATGTCTGCAACCCTACCACTCTGGGAAGCTGAAGCAGAAGAATCGCCAAGTTTAAGTCCAGGCGCAGCAACTTAGCAACTTACTGAGACCTGGTTTCAAAATAATAAACAAACAAACAAACAAACAAACAAACAAATAAATAAATAAAGGACTGGGGATATAGTTTCCTGCAGAGGTCCTGGGTTCAATCCCCATTACCAAGAAAAAAAAGTATATACATGTATTGATGTTAATCTGTATACTTACTTATGCACAATAATACCACTAAATTTTAGATGAAAAATTTAGAAATAGTTGGCAATTTTTCCACATTTCCATGAATGATCTAGTCATGTGCCTCATTTTGGAAACCATTGTTCCGTAGCATGAGACGATGGAGGGTGCTAATTAGAAATGCAAATCCCGTGCTTATATGCATCATTCCATTTGGTCATAATGGAAACTATGTTCTCCCTTTGTTGTTGTCCTCACCTTTCCCCATTGTGTTTTATCTAGCCCAACTCAATCATTTTAGGTCTTTTCCAATTCTTACAGGCATTTAAGTTGTGCTTCTTTGTTTTCTAGCTCATGAAATCAGATACAGAGTTGGCATATAAACTCCAGGCAGAAATAAAGAGTTTGTGTTCGGGCCGGGTATTTAGCTCAGTGGTGCTGCTGCCTGCCTCCCAAGCGCAAGGTTCTGAGTTCAATCCCTGGTACAAAAAGAGAGTTTGTGTTCAATAGGAACATACTTTGGTTTGATTTGGATGGAAACCTAGGCAGGGAGGTAGAAATAATGACATCAGCCACTTATAGGGCAATAGCAGTATACTTGGTGCTGTAATAGACATTTAATACACATTAGGAAGCCAAATGAGTATAGATGTAGGCAGGAGCAAAAACCAAAAAGCAAGGGAGTTAATCAAAGAAAGTGGAAGGGGCTGAGGCCATGTACAACATGAGTAATTTGATGTGTCTACTATGGAGGGTTTATGAAATGAGAAATTAAGTTTGAAAAGTAGGTTGGGGCCTTGAGTGATACAGTAAAGATTTCAATAGATACTGAGAAGGCATTAAAAGTTCTTAAAAGCTTCCGGAAAAACATTCTTAAAACTTCAGTAAAGCCGGGAGGCATAGTGGCACACACCTGTAATCCTAGCACTCCAGAGCTGAGGCAGGTGGATCTCCATGAGTTCAAGGCTAGCCTGACCTACATAGTGGGTTCAAGGTCAGCCTGGACTATAAGCAAGACCCTGTCTCAGAAAACCAACCAACTAAACAAAAAAAGCAAAAAACAAAACAAAACAAAAATTCCAGTACAATCTTCAGTGACTGAAGACACTGCCTAAGGGAAAAAAATCCGAAAGACATGTATAGGAGAATGATGTGGAAAAGATCATTGTTTATTTCTCAAAACAGCGGTAGCCTTTTGGTAAAGTTGAAACTCATTTGGTGAGAATGGAAATGAAATTAGGAGAAATAAATGATCAGATTTAATACTTTTGGCCTGGTGTAGCTTGAAACCAAGTTATCCCTAAGTGAAATACTCTAGCAGTTCTTATTTGTCTTTTCTTTATGTTTCTCAGAGACTCCAAAGATTCAAATCTATTCGCGTCACCCAGCAGAAAATGGGAAGCCAAACTACTTGAACTGCTATGTATCTGGATTTCACCCACCCCAGATTGAAGTAGAATTGTTGAAAAATGGAGAGAAGATGGAAAAGATAGAAAAGTCAGACCTTTCTTTCAGCAAGGACTGGACTTTCTATCTCCTGGTGCATACCAGCTTCACCCCCAATGACAACGATGAATATTCCTGCAGGGTTTCACACATCACTCTGAAGGAACCCAAGATAGTTAAGTGGGGTAAGTTTTCAAATTCTTTTCTTAGCCAGGCATGGTGGTGCATGCTTGTAATCCCAGCACTTGGGAGGCTGAGGCAGAAGGATCACAAGGCCAGCCTGTACTATATAGAGTCCCTGTCTAAAAAAAAAAGAAAGAATAAATAAATGCAAAACTTTCCTTAGCTGCTAAAAGTTGTAGCAAAAAATCTGTATATTAGAGCTGGGGATTTAGCTCAGTGGTACTGCGCGTGCCTTGTAAGTGTAAGGTCCTAAGTTTGATACTAGGTACAAAAAAAAAAAAAAAATCAGCATACTGGGATTTTTAGGGAATATTCCAAAAGCATAATTAGAGGAATCTTCTGAGAGGCCTCTGTACAACTTGCTTCCCGAGCCAGGAATGTCCCTGCAGTGAGAGCAGAGAGCAGTAACAGTGTTTACATGAGGGCACAGGTACTCTGGTGCTTATCAACTGGCTTCTCCGCCGACACCAGGACCCTCAGCAGCATGGAGCTGCTTAGGGAGGCACAGGCCTTGGCCTGTATTCTCCCACTTTCCTGGCACCTGTGCAACTGTGGATTCCTCCAGTGCTCTTTTGACTAGATTTGGCTCGGAGGCAGGCAGGGGTAGGTGCTAGGAGGGAGTTCTAAACTAGCGTCCAAGATTAGGAACAGTAGCTTGTTCTGCCACCTTTATTGCTAACAGTTTGGGGGATTTGTTAGTACATAGTATTTTAAAAGTAAAACTTAAATGTTTTCCATTTTCTTTTTCATAGATCAAAACAAATAACCAGCATCATGAAGGTGGGTTTTTTTTCCTTAAGAAATTTTGTTTTGTTTTGTTTCACTATCCTAGGGACTACTAATAATAGCTCCAACTTAATAACTGTCACTGTACGAAGGATGTAAATTAGAGTAGTGTGTCAGCAGGCAAAGAAGAGTCCTATATAGTCACAAGTGTGGCTCTGCCAACATCTGCCCTTTAAAGGTAAGGCAGAGTAGCTGGGGGAGTGGATGGCAGGATAGAGGGAGGCAGTTAGCCATACCACCTGTGGGGCTTTGATCTTCCTTCTGTCATTTCTACACTGGCATTTCTGAGAGGGAGGCTTTTAGCAAGGAACCATTCTCTTCCTTTGCGTAACAGTTACTTTGTTCTTTGTCCATAACACAGGGGTGACAGTTCTGCAGACACCCCGTTTCTTCCATCCCTTGTTCAGGCCTTAGAGTGTGGGTACTGTGTTTGTTTTTAGAGGCTCCCAAGCCACCTGAGGAAAGATATGGAAGCATTGGTATAAATCCATGTAAACATACTCCAATAGATGTAGAAGTATGAACCAGCAAACTTGGACTTCTCTGTGAGTCTTCACTTGAAATCCAATGGTAGAGAATCCATTTTTTTCCATGAAATTCTATGGCCTTGATGTTGAAAACTCATTCAAATCTCCCGTTATATTCTAACACAGGGAAACTTGAGACAGTATAATCAAAATTGGGTGATCTGCTCAGTCACATGGACTAGATGGTAGAGTTAGGTTCCAACTCTAATCCCAGCATTGTTTCTTTTATGTTTTAGAAGCACCAAATAGATAGGCTCTTTGTAATATGTTTGTAGCGATGTTTCAGCTAGTTCTTCTAAAAAGCAAATCTACAAAATAGAAATTAGATTGGGGGCTGGGGATTTAGCTGAGTGGTTCCGCTGCCTGCCTTGCAAGCTCAAGGTCCCGAGTTTGATCTCCGGTACCACAAAAAAAAAAAAAAGGAAGGAAAGAAAGAAAAAAAAAGAAATTAGACAGATTTTGGTGATGAGATCTGTAAGCCCAATAAAGTGACTTACCTTTACTTTTCTCTTTTATTTTTCTTTTCAGGTTTGAAGATTTGAACAATTCCAAATTGTTTCTTTGCTTCTTAAAATTGAAAACCTTGTATACTTTATGCACCCGATATGGAAATTATAATAACATTAATGTAGGCATTATCTTTTTTATAATTCTACTTTGAGCGCTGTCTGCATATCTGTTTTTCAGGAAAAAAAATTGTATACTAACAATTGCCTCCTAAATATTTTAAAAGAAACAATAAAACCTTTGATTGGAAACTTTATGTATAAAAACTATTTTGATACTTTGGAGAACCACAAGAAAGGGTGGTTTAAAAAAATCTCTTGTTCTTTTCTTTTTACAGCACTGGGGCTTGAACCTAGGGCCTTCTATATGCTTGGCAAGCACTCTACATCTATACCACTGAGCTATGTCCCTGGCTTCTAAAGGCTCTATTGAATATGATTTAAAATAACAGTTGATCATATGTTAAGCTTTTGCTATACACTGAAGTTTATATATCTTATTAGTTGGCTGTACTTATTCTTCTTTGGTCCTCTACAACACAGGTGACTAATGAGCCAGGTGTGGTACTACATGCCTATACTCAGCATTTGGGAGGCTGAGGCAGGAGAATCACTGTGAGTTTGAGGCCAGCCTGGGCTACATAGTGAGTTCAAGGTCAGCCTGGACTACATAGCAAGACTCTTATCTCAAAAAACCAAACCAAATGAACAAAAAAAAGCCAAATCAACGACAACAAAAACATAGATAATTAAAAAACCTAAGTAACTGGGGACATTTCTCTTTAGGAAAGAACACAGGCTGAACTGAAGCCCTGTGCAGTGATGTACCGGCTTCCCTTTGCCAACTTCCTTTTGGCTCACTTCCTCTTTTACTGTCTCCACTCAGAAAAACAAAAAACACCCCAGATTTTCCATGACACATAATGTCATAGCATTATTTGAAGTGGCTTTCTGGGTATCCTGAGCTGTCTGCAAGTATGCATTCACTTTCATCATCCTGAAGATCTAGTGAATGTCTTAGGTCAAGTTTATGCGGAAGGAGGCTTTGAGTCTAGATTCAGTGACTTATTAAGAAAGGGCTCCCAAGAAAAAACAGTAAGGGAGTGGGACATAAAGGACAGGGAGTGGGAAGAAGCCAAGGGACTGGCCTTTGATGCCCCATATCAGCTTGTCTTTGGCTATCACAGGGTTGAAGGATGGCATGAAACAAACACCTGGGCACTCCCAGTTCTGTCCAGTAGCTGAGAGCAATGCGCAGGTGCTTGTTATTTGTAGCAAAATATAGAAAAGCTGGGGATTGGCTTGCAGAGCCAGATCTGGGTGGGTCATTGGTTGTTATTGTGACTTTACTGAGTGCACAGCATATGCAATTCCAAGTTCTCATTACAAATTCAGTGTTTCTAAAGTGGGGCTAGCATTGAAGTGTGAATGTCAGGGGACTCCAAAGGAAGGTCAAATCTTCATTGTACAGGAGGAATTGGAAAATTCCTGACTGAACCCTTTGGTTTGGATATGGTTTAATTGTGTTCCATGAGGGTCCATTATGGTTGGAGGCTTGGTCCACAGGGTATTAGAAGGTGATGAAATCTTTAAGAGATGGGGCCTAGCGAGTGGACCTTAGGTCACTTGGGCTGCACTCTAGAAAGACAGTTCTCCTGAGAGGGTTATAAAAGGAGCAGGCCTGGCCCTCCCATCTTTGCTGCTGTTTAGAGATCTAGTCACTTGCTTACTCCTCCTGCATGCAATCTTGCCATTTCTCTTGACACTATGAAGTAGTGTAGTGAGGGAAGCCCTTGCCACAGAACCCATGTGATGCTGCTTAGACAATGAACCTCCAAACCTGTGAGCTAAATAAACCCATGTGAGTAACCTGTTGGGTATTTTGTTGCAGTGACACAAAGCTGACTAATATAGTCACCATATTTGTAAAATGGGATAATTATTCCTGTAACACAAACTTTACTCATTTACTCAGTCATTTCTTCAGCAAAAATGGAATGCCTACTCCCTGCCAGGTCCTGCTCCATGATGGTTCTAAGAAGATAGCAGTGAGGAGTCTGTAAGATGCACACCTGTAGGCAACTGTGTTTACTTCCAGTGGTTATTTTCGCAGTTTACTAGATGATTAGGCACGTTGAGGGTGGTATGGCCATAGACATTCACAGTTTACTAGAAAAAATCACCCAAAACCAAGGTAAGGGAATACACAGAAAAGCTTCTTGGCTCTGAGCTGCCAAATCCCTCTCTCTACTGGGCTTAGATAACAGGCAAACATTTGCTCTGGACAGTTCCACTGAGCATAAACCTACACACAAACATCTGGTAGCCTCTCGATTTCTGAGAATGCCCTTCTTGCTCGGGAATTCACTAAATCTAACTGCATGTTCAGGAGCTCCCAATCCTCCATTTGTCAACATTCTTATTTTATTTTTCTCAATCTTGCCTGGTCTGTTCCTGATTCTGTAAAATTAGTTCTAACAGAGGAACATGCAAGTCACTTGTGTAACAGAGCTTTATCTGTTAGATTTCTAGGGTACAGACTCAGTATGAAGCTCAGGCTTGATTGAGGTGGGCGCAGTCTCCAGGACCTCAAGGCAAATTAGATTTTTCAACCCAAATCAGACTCAACATCCTTTTATTTTTAGCCTCCCCCCTTTAAAATAATTGTTCTGTAGCAACTCTTTCACTAATAATTATGAATGTAACAGGCTGCAGTGTTTGGTGTAAAGTAGTGCAAGTCTTACAACTAGCCCAGAATCTGTGAACCAGTGGCATTGAAGATTAAAAGGCAAGCTGTCCTGATGGTGTAGCTGCAAAGACAGTGAACCTTTTTAGAGCTTTCAGTGATAACAGCCAGCTGTGGCACATGAGCCATAGTTTTGCCACCACTAGTGTAAGGTGTCATTTTCTGAGCTCCAACAATGCCTCCTGCAGAGTTAGTATTTTTGCCTCTGTTATGTCTGAAAAGGTTAAAAAAAAAAAAATCTGAATATTCCAAAAGCAAACCCAAACCCAAAATACAGGTGGTTTTGAATTGTAATGGTAGTTGCATTTCTGGAAAATTCAGTGTATAAGATGTAATAAAAAAGTATGGTGAATATTTAAATTAAAATTATTACAATAACCACTGAGCCTCTTCCAAATAAGGCCTCCTCATTTCAACCACACTCACCCATCGTTCTTGCCACTCTCTGAAGCCACTCTGGAAGTCCTCTTTTGTGTGTTGGTTGTGTTGTCCTGGCTGCCTCCTTGTCCTGAATCAATTCAAAAATCTCTGGGGAAGAGCTGGAAGTCGCACGCTCCCAGATCCGATTATGTGATCATAATCGGCACAGTCCTGCCGCTCCAGTGCAGTGTACTGTTCATGATCCATGATTTACTGGGCACTGTAAAACACACTTCTCAGTGGCGGCTCACAGCTGACTGACTGCGCCCCGGCAGGGTGGAACTCGTCATCCACTGTTACTACGGCTGGGGGAGCTGCTACTTCTGTTGAAGACCCCGTGCCTTTCTGTGGGGGGCACCTGGCAGCAGTATTCACTGTATTTTAAAATCACTCTTTGTATGTAAATTAATCTGGCCTAGGAAATGCTCTGTTAATACTCAAGAAATAAAAAAACCTGAAAGTTAAACACCTTTTTACATGTGACTGTGAGCTCAGTTATAAACAGAACTTTCATAACCGCGTGTAGGCCGAGATAGGCCCCTAAATACTACATGTAACTTCATTGGAACAACCAAAAATTGCTCCAATCATTTCTAAACACCCCTTCCAGAGAAATGCTGCCTAGTCTGGAGAGTGGAGTTGCTGATGTGATCCATGGGGCAGAGCGAGGTGCTCTTCTTTCTAGGAATGCGAGGAGTCGGACTTGGGAGGAGGGAGCCAAGTTCCCTTTTCTAACCTAAGGCAGCGCGTTCTGCCTAGAGACTGGTGACAAAGCTGTGAGCTGGGTTTTGATTGGGCAACTGGTAAATTGTGAAAGAGATTAGAAAGATTGGCAGGGGTACAGTACCCTTTCCGCTCCCGTGGTGGGAGCGCCTGGAGACAAATGCTCTGCTGGCCAGGTGCCCCTCGCCCCGTTCACTTGCTCCCCTGGCCTGTGGTCCCGAACCATGTGCACCCCTTCTCCCCGGGGTCGCCGACTCTGGGCGGGCCTCGCCGGGCCCTGACGGAGGGCAACTCAAGCTCCTCCTCGCCCCGTGCTCGGT